CAGAGATTATTTAAGAAACGATGAGAACTTGCCATAAGGGATTGCTTTAATATGTGTTCGCTAAGTGGTTTATCCCCAATTTCAACTTTCTCTGTCTCCAACTTGAGGAGCACATCAATAATATCTTCTTTTCCCTCCTCGGCTTTTTTGCTTCTACGATGATGATCTATCGCTCTTTCGTAGAAAGCATCCAGATCATGGAAGGACTTTTCACGCCTAGCATGCAGACCGGAGAGCCTATCAGCAATCCAACCAACATACGGAAAGAAATCTGCAGCAGAGAAGCTCCCTAACATTGCCAAGGCTTCATAGATCACTTCATGAAATCTATCATTATCAATCTCACTGCCCTGGAAAGACATCCCAAAACCAACTCTACAAATCACATTAGCCGTGAGAGCAAGTAACTTCTGATTTAGATCAACAGGAGAACTGGTAGAAGCTGATTGAGCTATAAATTTCATCTGCGAAGCAATCTCTTCCTCTCTGATGAATCGAAAAGATTGCACCCTTTTGGTGCTAAAAATCTCAAGAACACAGATTTTTCTCACCTCCCTCCAGTACTCAGAGAAGGGAGAAAAAGCTATATCAAGATAATCATAAGAAAGTCTTCCAGTGCCTGCCAAGCTGGGTCTACTGCAACAATCAAGATCATGAACTTTTAAGACCTCTTTTGCGGTCTCTGCAGAGGAGACAACAACTGTTGGAACGCCACCAAGCTGCACAAGAATGACGGGTCCATATTTCTTGGACATCTGTGCTAGGGAACGATGGGGCAATGAACCCAGCTGGTGCAGGTTACCTATAATAGGCAACTTAGGTGGACCAGGAGGAAGATTAGTTTGTCTCCTTGATCCTATCTTCTTCTTCACAACAACAAGCACAGTAAAGAGCAACAACAACAAAAGCCATCCTGGGATGAAGCTAGCAATCATTTTGCAACTCTGTCTTAATTATCCTTGCCTCTGAGCTTCCTAAATGAATTTTAGATTGTCAAATTACCTGTAAACATTTCGTATGATCCCAGTCAATATAAGATTGTATTTTTTGGGAACTAATTTATACACTCATCTCAAATGCAAAAGCAAAAAAGAAAAAAAAAAAAAAAAAACAGAATTCTTAGTTATTTTCCATTAACTCAGGTAAGTATTCTGCTAATGATTCTTAAATGTGACTTGTCTGTAATTAATTTACGTCTCTTGCGTATCTAAACAAACAATCAGGAAAATTAGCAAGCTTCCATTGAACACAGAAGTAATCCAAATATTCTTTCTATGAAACATCACCAAAACGGGAGTTAATCAGAGTCGACGTTATCTCAGTTTTTCTATGACTAAATTAAGAACCAACGCAATTTTACCAGTAACTTTTCAATAATGAAGAAGGAACCATTTCCACAACTCATGAATTAGACACTTCTACTCCTACCAATCCAATCCAGCAAAGAGTTTTGAAGCAGAGATGTTCGCTTATTTTTCTCACAGACAACCATTTTGGCACCAGATCTACAGAAAACTACACCCAAACAGGCTCTTTAAAGAGAAAAAGAGAAGAGAAGAGAACAGAAAAAACTCATGAATACTCACAGAAATTTGAGGCTGAAATGAAAAATGCGAAGCCGAAGGAAGATGAGGAGTAAGAATCCTGTAACAACTCAGAAACAGCTAGCGAGAGTGAGAGAGAGAGAGAGGTTTGCCGTGGTTCGCTTCCTGCTCCGGTCTTCCAATTCTGACATATTTTATAGAGAGGTAGCGGCCGTTTTCAGACTCTCTTCCCAAGAAAGTTGACAAATCATATTTTACATTTTATATTTTATGGAAAATCGGTTTGTTTAATTAAAAATTAATTACTCTTTTCGAATCTTTAAGAGCTATATCGTATACTACCATAAACATATAATCACACTTCCATCAACTTGTTTTTTTTTTTTTTTTAAATAAAAAAATAAAAAAATCATCAACTGCATTTTAGTTATTTATTTAATCCCTTTCTATTACTTTTTCTAATTATTCACTTATTTAAATGTTCTTAAAAGTAAAGTTTTTATCTTATTTGATATTTGAAATATCAATTATCAATTATCAAACTAAAAATAAAAATAATCCACAGTTCTATACAATTTTTTTTCCCTTTTCTGGCTAAAATTTATAAGGTGACCTATCTAGAACTCAACTCTTTTGTCTCTATTAGAAAATGGAAAAGGATATATATGTTTTATCTTTGGAGAAAAAGCTATTATTATTATTATTATTATTCGTGAATCAAGATTAAACTATTATTATGTACATATATATATATATATATACACACACACACACACACACATTATTTCAGTTTAAATGAACATTATTCTCTCTCTTCCATTATCTCTCTTGAATGAACATTTTGGTTCTCAGCCACACATAAGATTGCTTACATCATAAGAATTTGACCACCTTCACCGGTGAAGCTTGCGATATTTTGTTGGATGGATGGATGGATGGATGGGTCAACATACATACGTATAAGACACACACACACCCCCATATATATAATTACATACACAAATATTTCGTAATTATATAAAATTTACTATTTCCAATTACAACAACATTTTATTGAAAAAAATTTGCAGTTCTGCGGTTAAAAAGTAGAATTAAATCTGAAATATGTAAGAGAATATATTTTATTACATGTTGTGATGTAGAAAGTCTTTGATAATTAAGTTACAAAATAAAATTCTTTGATCTGATTACAGTACTTATTATACAATAAACTTCAAGTATAAAAAAATATATATAAAATTGAGTAATAAAAAATTATGTATAGTCACACCGTGACGTGGGGATACGTGCGCCATAAGTTATTACTGTGCCATTGGGGTACTTTTATTTTTTATTCTTTTTCAATATGTTTGTTTGTGAATAGATCAAGCTAACAGCTAATAACTTAATGGGATCGTATCTCATTAAAATATAATTATAATTACAGTTAATTTTAATAAATCAGAATGTTAATAAACAAGTTTTAATTTGTAAGTTAAGTGAAGGCATTAATTTTTTAATTAATTAGATTGTAGTTTATTAATCCTAATGTGAACAATTTTATTTTTAATTGAACTTTAAAAAAAAAAAAATTATTGACCTAATACATTGATTCTTAAATTATACTTATAAAAATAATATTACAAATGAATGAGATATACTTGGGAGCTACCATCCGTAACAAAATTGGCAAGAACTTCAAATTAAAAAAAACGTTCTTTTATATATATATATATTGAAAAAGAGAAGGAGTGCTATGGTTTAGGGAAATCAATTATTTTTCTCGAGAAGGAATCTGATTGATTTATTATTATTATAATATTATAAGAATACAACAATTAATGCTAGCTTGATCTATAGTCACCTACAGTTCACAACTTTTTTTTAGAAGAGAAATTGGTTTGCTCCTCGTGTCAGCCGCATCCCCTTGCATTTGCTTTTGTTATTTAATTATTACAAACTTTTAGATGTATTTTTTTTTTAAAAAAAAGTAAAAGAATAAAATAACATTAATAATGATACAGCTACGTATATATATCTTATTCAGAAAATATACATATATTTGCTGTCCCACTACTGTTCCCTCGGGGGTACATTACTGTTTTCAAACAATATGATAGGACAGTTTCCTCAAATGAAAAAAGAACGATGGGATAAAAACCTGTAGATGTATTGCTTGCTTATCATATAATTTTAAATCACTATTGCTGTAGAAATTATATTAAAAAAAAAATAAAATAGAATTTTTATTTATAGAAAGAAAAAATGCTCTTTTTTATTTTTAGTCTATTTAAATAAAAATTTGTTGTTTGTTTAATTTTCTTTTACCTTTTTAAGTAATTTTTAAAATATTCAATTCTCAAAATAAGTTTGGGTTGATGAGATTGTTCTTTATCAAAAATTTCGTACTTCCTCCAATATAAGAGCCCATAAAGAACTCAGATATTTACAACTAAACCCGATCATTGCCCTACTTTTAGAGGGAAGTAAAGCTACATCCAGATGAATTATCACTACCACCTTTGCATCCCTTTTCCCACACCACTAGTTGTAAGGCTTCAATAGTGAGCCAACCACTCATTTCCTCTCCATAAAAATTTTGGCAGCTAAATGTTGCGGTCTTAGCCAGGTTTTTGGCAGTTTGATTCATAAAGGTCTTTGTAAATATAACCAAACCTCTATGTTATACCTCTCTAAAATGAAGCTCACTAAAACTAAATGCAAAAAGTTATGCTCTTAACTTCCTCTTTACCTATTTTACATGTGCTTTAGCAAAGGATATAAAATAAGACTTATGTATAGCTTAATCATGCACTTTACAATGTTAAATAATCAAAGTTTCTTTATCACAAACTATTATTAGTTTATACTACCTTATTACTCAATAAGTTATTTTACATACCGAGGAAAATAAGTCTCTTTATCCTACCCAAAAACACATTCTATGAAAGGAATTAAAAATTATTTCACATACCCATAAGCTCACATAGCTCACTTTAGGGGATTTTGATGCAATTCTTAACACTAAGAAAAGAGTAATCACAAACATATTATTATTTCTTCCTATCATTTTCAAGATCTCATAGATCAACTAAATCTTCCTGACTTAAGCTACTGAGGAAATCCATATACTTGGAGTAAGAATCCTTTTATTCCCTATTCAAGAAGTGGGCCTCTTTATGAAAACTCATATCCTATCATGCCATAAATTTATATGGTGATGTATTCTACATATGGCATACCAAATATTCCTTTTAATAATAGATTCTTTTTTCCTATTTCTCAATACATGTTTTGTGTCACTCCAATGGTAGATAACATGATTTGTCTCCTACTAAAATGTCTTCTAACAAAATTGATTTGATTTATATACAAATTAGGCCTACAACTAAAACTATTTTCTCATCTTTCTATATTAGAGTGAGCCTCTTATCTCTTGTCCATCTAGCAAAACAAAAAATGCATCCATGTTACAGTACTTCAACTTATTTTCTAATATGCATAAATTATGATTGACCTCCTACAATCTATGGGGTAATCAAAGTCTTTTTTGATAACAAATCTCATCATTCATGCAATGTATAATAATAGCAGAAATAAAGTTTTAACTACAACAATCAATCATCGAGAATAATGCACATCAATAAAGCATGTAAGACTAAATACTCAACAAGGAAAAATCACCTATATTATATGTGGTTCGAGTACCCATACAAGCCAGATTGACCTTTATGTTGTCCTCTAGGTACAATTTTTTATGGAACCAATAGTTTTGTTTACCTCTGAGACTCAGCCTTATTAGATGGAGTTAAAAATCAAGGTGTATTGTGAAAGGCTAAAAACCCTAGAATGTAATCACGCATTTATATATATGGATTGATACTTAGATACGAGATTAAGTTATATATCAGACATGATTGCTCCCTCTAAGCTATCTTGTAAGCTAGATTTCATTAACCCTGAGACATTAAAAGCATTTTTATTTTGTATGGATCAAGGAAAAATCAAATAGCTCGTAGTATAATACAAAAGGGCTTTTTTTTTTTATTCCCATATTTGACCCATATAACTTATCTCTCTCAATATATTTTACAGTATCCATTAAAATACTTGAAACATATGACATTACTTCTTTTTTAATTAGAACATATAGTTTAGAAAATAACATCTTGTCTTGCACAATAAATATTAAACAGATACTTGTTATTCACCAATTAGCAACTACCACTAGAGTAATCTCTTTTAAAATTTTGTCAAAATCAAAATTATATATTAATTTAAATACACATATATTATTGGTGTCACTAGAATATAAAAAATTGAAATACTATTAGAAGTTGATTTAGCATATCTAAACAATACTTGGTGGTGGAATTAAAGTAGAGATTAAAAGTAAAATATTTTGGCCCTGGATTTTTCTGCATAGTCAAGTCTCTTAAGCCGGAATACTAAACTAATCAATTTAAATGTGAGAAATTGCCTATAAGAATATATATTGAATTATTTGTTCCTTCTTGATTATAACTTAAACTTTATAGTTCATAGATTATAATTAATGTTTACTAAATTCTCAATCTGTATTGGTTCATACTAGAATTAGTAAATTTTTTAAATGTATTTAATATAATATTAAATATAATTCCATTACTAAATTCATAGGCAAATATTTAAGCAAAAACATGAAGAATATTATATCTAAATAATTAAAAATTGAAAATAATATATCTTTAAACTAATATATATTCTTTTTTTTCTATTTTCAGCATAACATTTTCTATCATTAGCAATTATTTTTTTTTTTTGAGAAACTAACTGTAAGGGATATAACTGTTATGCACAATATCCAATTATTCATATAATATATTGAATACATTTTTATTTAATAATTTATTTTAATATATGACAATAATATTTTTATTCTCATATTTATTATCTTGTTATTTAATTTATATGATAAAATTATTGATTAAATTTACATACTTTATATCAAGATGGAGATCTTGATAATGAGAATAAATTTTTTTATGATTTAATTTAAAATATTTTTAGTCGTTAGATAATCAAAATAAAATATTAATGATCCGGTAAGATTAATATATATTTGATGATCTCTATAAGATAAAGATTAGTTAATTTCATTAACTAAATTACATATATAGATGATGTATATGAAGATATAATTATTAAATCGATCTAACTGAGAATTCCTAATAGTTAATATTATTTTAAACTGTTAGTAAAATATTATCTTAAAATGACGAG